ATATCAAAGAAAAAGATAGTGTTTACATGTATAATCAAAGTCAACAGCGTTGTTAGTCAAAGGCGTTGCTTAGGACCAGTACGGACATTAAATTATCTAGACATATGAATACGACAGGCCTAACCCGCATTTTGTAGGTTGAAGAAAATTTGTTGCATACATCCAAGACATTGGAGGTTAGGACAAGAATCCTTCCATTCTATATAGAGCCCGTCTTAACACATGGCTTCCCTGTGTGGTTCCGGGACCCTGTTATAGGGAAAAACACGAATCGACCCACTGCCTACCCAAAAGCGTGTCGTAAGAGTCGATTAATTTGGAGCTTCCTTCAAAGACAGAGTGCATCTGCCTGAGAGGCAAGGAACCAACAGTCTGCCTATAGATAAGTTAGATCTGTCGAACGGATGCACATGCAACATTCATGTTCTGAAACGTGACTGCAGTCCAGAAGTAGATGAACAACTAGAACTTTCCGCCAGAGTTTACAGCTGGTAAACGCGAAGAAGAAGAAAAACATATGGCTGTGAATCCTGGACAATTAATAAGCAAAATTAACAAGTTTTCGATCCCTTGGAGACTTGATTTTACAGAAAAAACCTCAGAACTCCTTTGACAGCCAAAAGGAGCAACGCAGATGTCTTGAAAGAAGAAAGGGTTCGAGGACAACTTGTCACAAACATTGGAAAGAGACAGTCATCATTTATTGGTAAAGTGATGAGAATAAGAAAACTGCAGCATGTTGTGACCACTGGAAAGATCTGTGGAAAAAGAGACAGAGGAAGACAACATGAGAATATTTTTACAACATTTTAGCGTGGCATAGAGGGGTGTCAACACACGAACGGATACACGTAGTTACAGATAGCGGATAAGCATGGTGGTCTACACCGGTCAATTGAGGGCACCTGATGATGATGGTAATGATAAGTAATTAGCTCCCAGCCCAAGAAACTGACTCACAGCCTGCCCTAACCCTTTAAAGAATGAGCACCTTTTAAAGTGAGACTGCTGTTGTGGCCTTTGTCGACACACTTGAATATTTTCAAGGTCTCGATTTGCGGAGTTATCCTTCTCATCTTTATTGTTGGCACCTTTCCGTCTTTCCAGACGATAGTGTCAACAGCGCTATACGTAGACATAAAAATCGCCGCTCATAGGAGATAACAAATAAACTTAAGGATGAAGTTTATACATTCAAGCTTCCGCATGAGTAATTACATTTTCACTAATGTGTGTATTACATACTACACTGTCATGGCTTGAGGATATGGGCAGTGTGACAGATGAGAGGGAGGCAAAAACTGTGTACACACAGCAGGTGAATGGTTTTAGACCACGAGGCAGACCGAGAAGATAATGGAGAGTTTATATCCAAGCAGACAAGTGAATGCTTCCGTCATCATATGGCAAGAGAAAGTCAATCGCAGAGATGAATGGTGGTCGGTAATATCTGCAGCATTGAATCACAGGGATCATAAATGCTGCTTCTGCAAGAGCAAAAGTTAAGGAAGAAGGAGGAGGGGAGAAAAGAAAAAGAAGGAGGAGGATGAGAAGAAGAAGAAGAGGGACAAGAAGCAAGAGGATGAAAAGAAGCAGAAAGAAAAGAAGAAGAAGAATGTCATTTTTTTCTCCAAATCCTTCCTATTAAAAAAAAAAAAAAAAAACACACACGACACTGCAATTTTCCATTCATCAATTTACATTATTCGAATCTCTTGCAAAACAATTTTCCATTCACAATATAACCCTCTCTAAAAAAGGGAACTAACGAACAGTTTTAAACTCTCAAATCTCTATAAATACTTTTGCCCTTGACAAAATATTGACTAGCTGTCATGTCCAATCCATGTTTTCTGTGCTTAAGCTGATCAATGTGCCATTAATCTCACAGAAAGAGCCCTATGTCATGTTCAGACACGTCCCCCAGGATGGGGAACCTCTTGTTGCAGACGAGAATCTGGAAGGATTCTGTATTGATTTAACCAGAGCGGTTGCCAAAAAGGTAACATTCATTATTGCATTGTTTGTTTGTTTGTTTCGTTTATGTCCCCTCCCTTCTCTTTTCGGTGAGGAACATTTTATGACATTTGGTATCCGTATTTTTGAATGACGTTTATTATGATTGTTATAGAATAAGGCACCTGGGTGTAACCAGAGGGTCTGGCCGACTCATTACACTCATAGGAAAGGCAAGACGGAAATAAAACCAGATTGTGACCGTTACCATCATTATTAGAACTCTGCGATGGCTGCTGAGGATGAGGACGGAGCACACATTGGAATGCCCAGAGTGCTGTGATGTCAATTCTTGACTCAACTTAATTCAATACGTGGACAAATTAGGTTTGAGGTTTGAACAACGGACCAACATCGTGGCACACAGATAGTAACCTCTACGTGCTTCGTTATTTTTATAATTCAAGTCTGAGTCCGAAGAGGCTCAGCACAGTGCACAGGCTCTATAGCTCCGGCGAGGATCCTAAAATGCTTTGGGTAGATTTTTAACTAAAAATTGTTGCCCGGGCAGCGCCGTTAGGCTACTCTTTACGATTTCCGACTGCCAAGGAATTTTCTACGTATGCAGCAATGCACACGGGCGTCCGATCTCACTACCCACATACCAGAGGGAATTACTAGAAGTCAAAGTGAAAAAATCCCGGAACCTCCAGCACTCGAGGCGGGCACCATGCCTCGAGACCACGCAGCCCTCTTGCGTGGACGAATATCTTCCCCAAAGGGCAAGTGGTGTGGAAAGAGTTCTTCACTTTATCTTTTACTGCAGCGAGATAAGATTAGATTAATTAACTATTTCAGTACCAACAAAACACCATATGCACCTCGACAGTAACACAGATATTATGATAACCTTGCTGGCTTCAATCTTAGCTCTTGTGTAGCGGCTGGACCCTCGCCTGCGGATCTAAAGGTAGTAGGTTCAGTTCCTGACGAAACCGGACTTTTTGTCAAAACTATCTTGGTTTCCAAGCTGACCCAGCCTCATATATGTGTATAAATCTAGGAAGTAAAGGCGGTCAGTGTAATTGTGATCACATTACCCACCGCATGCCGATCTAGCCCTATATACCCAATACGCATGAAAGGTGTGGACGAGTGTCCTTTTTTTTTTACTTCTATCACAGTTTGTGTGTTTAACCATTTGTATCGGAATTATTGCTTGTACTACCACTTCTGCTTAGAAATGTCTTCGCTGAACTCCTTTGGGCTTAAGCAGTTACTGGCTTTAAGCCAAATTCCTTGGAATCGGAGGAATTAAAGTAGTAACTGCTTGCCCAAAAAACTGCCAATTAACTGCCTTTATGTTACCACTTTTGGGTGTAGGCAGCGGGGTCTCTGAACCCGAGGATTTACGGCCGCATGACTAGTGTTGTCGCCACGACTGTACCGATGATTCAAACATGGGTCTTCCGCTTGAAAGCCCAGCGTTCCAACCGTTCGGCCAGCCTCTTCTCAAAAACTGCTTGCGACTAAAAGAAATACAGCAGTCACTGTAAAAGTCAGATCAGAATCAAAGTAAGTGTATCGGCACATTGCAATGATCAACATCTCTACCACAACCATCTTCATGGTAATGAAAGAGCTGGCAACTAATGCATCAATAGAAAAGGAAACAAACATGGAAAGAGCTGATTTTATCAACGCTGTGCGGACAAGGTTGGGGAGCGGTCCCTGACGTTAACACGATTGCGTGACCTAGGGGTTAAGCTTGGTGAAGCACGTGTATGCCATCTTCGATGTGGAGGCAGGAGATACTATAACCAGCTTCTCTTGAGAACAATCAGGAGAGGTACCTTGGAGTGACTGCTGCTTCAGAGGGCTGAGCCCACATGGAAATGCGCAATATGCAAAGACGTCGATTGTGATAACATAACAGCAATCTTCTCTCCTCAATCTGTTCTGCAGGTTGGTTTTGAGTACAAATTTATGTTCGTCAAAGATGGAAGTTATGGGTCGTTTTTACCTAATGGCACATGGGATGGAATCGTTGGAGAACTGATACGACATGTGAGTATTGGCCATCTTTATACATCCTCTTGTATTCCAGTGTTAGTCCTGTTTTTCTTCCCTATGTGTATACACGTGTTAGCCGCTTTGAATTCCTTTGTGAATCCTATAACGTATAGCGGCTTGTGTGCTTTGTCATGTTTGTATAGGGTATTCCAAAAGCTCCTTCAAAGTGAATGAATATATGTAAATTGTACAACTGTCTATGATACGGTATCCGATTATTGAAAACCGTTTACTGGAGACACTCACAGTTTTCAAATAATTTCATACTGCCTCATGAGAATTTGTTTTACTTTAGTCATCCCGTTGTAGGATGCAATTTTTCGTTATTTGAAGCCCTACTCTGGCTCTTGCCAAAGACCGCATTATAGCCCGGCCATAAATATGGTTTAATCGCTGAACGCGGTTTCTGAGACCTTTCCACGGGTGATCCTCATCCACATAGTGGCACTTTGTGTCATCGGGTGTTTATCGCCTGTGTGATGTCCTGGTGGGGTAGAAAGTCAGTCAGTCATGAAAGTTGTATATTTATGTGTATTCAGTCACTGTGAAGGGATTTGTGAAACAACCTTTATTGCATGGTGCATTCTGTTTTACCCTTTCTTTGGAGCAAATAGAGCAGATACTAACACCCAGTTTTAACACATGGCTTTGAATCCTGGACAATCGGTAGGCAGGCCAAACAATTTTTTTGAGGCCTCAGAGATGTGATTTTACAGAAGAATGCTTAGAATACCTTGGACAGCCAAAAAGAGCAACCAAGAGGTTTTGAAAGAAGCGGGAGCCCGAAGACAACTAATCACAGACATCAGAAGGAGACAGTCATCATTTTTTCGACCATATTATGAGAAGAGGGAAAATGGAACATGTTGTGACCACTGGAAAGATCTGTAGAAGGAGGGATAGAGGGAGACAACGAGAGAAGATTCTTGACAGTCTTGTTGCATGGCATGGGGGTGTGTCAGCACACGAACTGATACATGCTGCAGGAAAGTAAGCTTGTCGCTTGGTCGTCCAGGCATGCCGACTGGTATAATTAGGCTGCCGCGGCGGCTTCTTATCTCACAGTACCTCCTTCGAAACCACCAAGTCGTCTTGTCTCTGGCCGAAAGTAAAACACCATTCGGTAATCCCGTGCAGCAGGGAACCAGCCCTGAGCTTCATGAACTCAGGAGGGTCCACCTCCGAATGCGTCTAGGAATAGTGGGCCGAAACGCGTGTCGACGAGGATAATTTCTACTGAAGACTGGTAGATCCCTGCTGTACTTGCTCCCTGTGAGTTTATTCCTATTGCAGGAGATCGCAGATTGTGGAAAGGCATGATCGCCCACGCCAGTCAGCAAGGCACCTGAATGATGATGATGAAATAAATAGGACCGAATGAAGAGTCATTCTAAGTAAAGTAGAGATCCATTTTCACGCCTTTTTAAAGGCGTATCGGGTGTATGGGAAGAGCGCAATTATTTATACAGACCATCGGCACAAGGTGGGTAATGTGGTCAGCATTACGCCGACCGTCTTTAATTCCCCAGGACAGCCATCTTGGTACCCAGTTTAGGCTGGGTCGACCTGCGACGCCCCATTAAATGATGAAAACCTACACAGCCAGCAGTGGGTTTCGATCGCGGTATGTTGGAATTACGAGTCGAACTCGCAATTCTAAGCCACTGACGACGCTTGAAGGATAATTCTGTTTAAACAATAGATTGTCTGCATTATTGCCGAGGCTTTGTTCTATGAAGAGGAAGGCGTTATTCTTCAGCTTAAGCTGTTCTTGGAAACACCATTGGCCCCTGTGTGTCATGGAGTTGGAAATCGGGAATCGAATTGAGATACAAGATCAAATGACTGTAGACAGGTGGAGCGTCGGGTAGATAGGTGGAGAGTCAGGTAGATAGGTGGAGAGTCAGGTAGATAGGTGGAGAGTCAGGTAGATAGGTGGAGAGTTGGGTAGAAAGGTGGAGCGTCAGGTAGATAGGTGGAGAGTCGGGTAGATAGGTGGAGAGTCAGGTAGATAGGTGGAGAGTCAGGTAGATAGGTGGAGAGTCGGGTAGATAGGTGGAGAGTTGGGTAGATAGGTGGAGAGTCAGGTAGATAGGTGGAGAGTCGGGTAGATAGGTGGAGAGTCGGGTAGATAGGTGGAGAGTTGGGTAGATAGGTGGAGAGTTGGGTAGATAGGTGGCGAGTTGGGTAGATAGGTGGAGAGTTGGGTAGATAGGTGGAGAGTCAGGTAGATAGGTGGAGAGTCAGGTAGATAGGTGGAGAGTTGGGTAGATAGGTGGAGAGTTGGGTAGAAAGGTGGAGCGTCGGGTAGATCGGTGGAGAGTTGGGTAGGTAGGTGGAGAGCTGGGTAGGTAGGTGGAGAGTTGGGTAGGTAGGTGGAGAGTTGGGTAGATAGGTGGAAAGTTGGGTTCAGTTGTAATACATGCTGTAGCAACAATAGTTCTGATATACCATATTCTTACTGTTAAATACTGCTTAAAGTAAGGAGGGAAAAGGGGGGAAAAGTAAGGGTGGGGGATTCCCAACCCTCCTGTATCTCTTAAGCTGTGCCATCTCCACAATAGAGATTGGCTGCAACTTATCCACTGCTAACTATGGGAATATTGTGTGTGAGATCCTAGACTCTTCTACGGTGTAACTCTCATACCACTGTCTGAAAGTCGTGATAACGAACTTTGATTTAAACTCCCCCACCACGGAAATATACCCTGGTAAAAGCTGAGCACTGCATTGTGAAACCACTTCACTAACCTCTAAGGCAGTGTGCCTCTTTGAAGTGCAACAAAACGACAATCATCTGGAAAGGTGAAACATTTTCAGCAGTATCCAGTGGATTGTTTGAATCATATACAATAACGAGAGGGCTTTAAATGAAAATCCTAACAGCGTGACAGAAATTACCGAAAGCCATACTGTTGTCTTGTAACTTGTCAATGTTGTTGTCAAAAGTAGGGCGGCCATCTTTAAACTGTCATTATGACGTCACTGTGTTGTCTGCACCGTGGTGTCACGTGCTTAACGGTCTTGACATCCTTAAAATAATACTGGCAGGTTACAGTACAATGGCACGGTCATTGTCATTTCTGTCACATGTTTTTAAGGTTTCCATTTGAAGCCCCCTCGTAGCGATCTTCATCATCGTCAGTGATTGGTAGGAAGTTCTGTGGAAACTGTGCAGACGTGAGGAAATTATACTCATTTTTTGTATGGTGATATTGACCGTGATACTGACGATTGTCGCGATGATGATAGCGACGATGACTTTATTGGTGATGATGATAGCGACGATGATTGTGGTGATGATGATAGCGACGATGATTGTGGTGATGATGAAACCGACGATGATTGTGATGATGATGATAGCGACGATGATTGTGGTGGTGGTGATGATGATAGCGACGATGATTATGGTGATGATGATAGCGACGATGACTGTGGTAATGATGATAGCGACGATGACTGTGGTAATGATTATAGCGACGATGACTGTGGTAATGATTATAGCGATGATGACTGTGGCGATGATTATAGCGACGATGATTGTTGTCATGATGATAGCGATGATGATTGTGGGGATGATGATAGCGACGATGATTGTGGTGATGATGATAGCGACGATGATTGGGGTGATGATAATAGCGACGATGATTGTGGTGATAATGATAGCGACGATGATTGGGGTGATGATGATAGCGACGATGATTGTGGTGATGATGAAAGCGACTGTGATTTGGGAGATAGTGATAGCGATGATGATTGTGGTAATGATGATAGGGACGATGATTGTGGTAATGATTACAGCGACGAAGATTGTGATGATGATGATAACGACGATGATTGTGTTGATGATGATGATAGCGATGATGATTGTGGTGATGATGATAGCGACGATGATTGTGGTGATGATGATAGCGACGATGATTGTGGTGATGATGATAGCGACGATGATTGTCGTGATCATGATAGCGACTATGATTGTGGTGACGATGATAGCGACGATGATTGTGGTAATAATGATAGCGACGATGATTGTGGTGATGATGATAGCGACGATGATTGTCGTGATCATGATAGCGACAATGATTGTGGTGAAGATAGCGACGACACAATTGTCGTGATAGTGATAGCGACGATGATTGTGGTGATGTTGTTAGCGACGATGATTGTGGTGATGATGATGATGGTAGTTCGCTAATGTAAACCTCCGAATTAAAGTCATAAATTATATTTTTAGATAGACTCTGGGGACACCACCATGCAGCAAAACCATTGGAAAACAGAATATAAAATGGTTTGGTCTAGTAATAATGCAGCCAGAATAAATACCAACGCTTCTTTTTTCTTAAAATCGATGTCGTGGACATGTCTATCCACAACCTTCTGTCTCGTGTACTTTCAATCAACTCTGACACAGATGATCTTCCATAGTCTACGCTGTGTGGCGTTGGTAGTCATGTCTATCCACAACCTTCTGTCTCGAGTCGTTCAGTCAACTCTGACCTAGATGATCTTTCATAGTCCATGTCGTGCGGCGTTGGTAGTCATGTCTATCCACAACCTTCTGTATCGTGTACTTTCAATCAACTCTGACACAGAGGATCTTCCATAGCCCACGTCGTGCGGCGTTGGGAGTCATGTCTATCCACAACATTTTTTCTCGTGTCGTTCAGTCAGTTCTGACACAAATGATCTTTCATAGTCCATGTTGTGTGGCGTTGGTAGTCATGTCTATCCACAACATTCTGTCTCGTGTACTTTTAATCAACTCTGACACAGATGATCTTCCATACCTTGATTTCAGACTACCAACGCAGGTGCTACAAATAAAAAGATCTGTTGTGAAAGCAAGAGGTCGCCCTAGGAGAACATGGACTGATGACATTAAAGAGCCTCTTCATCGGCATGGAATAACAACAGCCATACCCGGCGATATAGCAACGAATCACAAACTGTTCGTCGTTTAACGACAATGTGGAAATTGATAATGATGATGATGATGATGTTGATGGTTGTGACCATGGTGATGGTGATTCTGATTTTGATTTTGACAATAAAATCTTCTTCGTGTTCTGCTTCCACCATTAAAATAGCGGGTTGTGTTGTAGCTTTTTTTTTTTTTCATCGTTTGTTCGATTTCAGTTTAACCACTTCCAAACTCTGACCAGGGAGCTTGCCTCTTCTAGTCAATATCGGTTATAGTTATGGAAACAAACTGTGTTGCTGTTTGATTACGTAGCGTTTGGTGCTAGTATTGTGTCTTCCGTGTCTATCTGGCCGGCCAGGTCGTGTCCGTCTCATTGTGCAGGATTGGGTCTGATTAGGTCATGTGTCCCTTACTGCGCCATCCGTTGCTGGTGTTACTGACATTGATTGGGATGTCTCCTTAGCTTTTCATGGTGATGTTAATGTACCAGTTCTTCGTGTTGTTTTAGTAGCTCTTATCGCTGTTGTGCCACCAGTAGGTCTTTAGCTGCTATCGCGATCTTGAACTCTTCAGCTAGGCTGCGATTTCGGCCCAAGACATCCGATTTCAGCAAAGCTCTGTTAGTCCCCTTTTGCGATACACTTTTTAGAGGTCTATTCGTTTTTCTTTCCGCAAAAATGGAGTCCCAGAAACCCACACAATGGTGGTGGTGATGCTGATACTAAGGAGAAAGGCGACGATGATGATGATAGCGATGTCGATGAAACGGTCTTAACCAAGACTTTTTTTTCTAGTGGTAGGCAATAGTACACAGTACTGACACCTTTTCATAGGCATCATTTGTTTCTAGCGCTGCTGTAACAGACACTTTGTGACCGGCACCTTTTTTAGACACCTAATGGGCAGTACTCAGTACTGGCATCCTTATTTTTGTTCCTAAAGAGTAGGGGGGGGGGGGGGGGGGGGGCAGTACTGGTTTTAACCCTGCATCAAACCCTCTTACGATTACTTTGATCTTTTGTATGTTCAGGAAGGCAGACATGGCGA